CCCTCAAGGTTTCGCGTTTAGGCTTTTGTGCTTTCTCCGCCTCTGGGTCGGCGGACTGAGCCGGAGGCTCTTAAGTTAAAATAATTTCAATTCCCAATTTAAGGTCATTTTGGTAGTATTCCCACATTAAGCACCATTTAGGTTCCCAGATTTAGGGTTTAGGGAGTTTAGGGATGCCGAATATTCTTGCTGCCAGCGGACGCAGTCTGCGCGTCGGTCTGCGCGAACGAAGCTGGAGCCTTCTATTTGCCGAGGGCGGGAGGCCTGAAGCTGCCCATGTGGGCCAGGCATACTGTCTTGTCCAAGTTCTGAAGCATAAAAAGGAATCCTAGAGTCCCCCATAAGTAGAGAGAATACGGGACATGTGGGGATTTTATCATGGTTGCCGGGAATTCCATATTCCATCTGCTTGGTAATTTTCCTGAGTAGGGGGGCCCTAACATAGACCCAAAAATGGCATACTATAATCCTTATAAGGGGGACCGCCAAAAAAAGGAGCCCTAATTTTGGGAAATCCCTACTTAAGGGGAACTACAGTACGGGGTTGGCCCCTGTTGCCCTTTGAAAAATGTGTGTATATAGGGTCCCCTATTAAAGCCAGTAGGGAAAATGTTAAATATCCCAGGGGCCTACCCAGAGTATAGCTTAGGTGGACCCCCCACCCAGTCATAGTGACTATCCCTGAAATAGGGATTATAGTAGGTTCCTCTTATATTCTTATTATACCACGATTACAGGGTGGGGGACAACTGCCTTTGACTTCTCCACCGACTCGTGCCCTTCTTCTGCCTCGCAGATACTACCAGGAACGTTTAGGGGTTTAGGGGTTAGGGTTTAGGGTTTAGGAGTTAGGGTTTAGGGGTTAGGGTTTGAGGTGTAGGGTTTGAATACTCCCATTGTGGAATCTTTTAATATGTTGGGAGTATTGAATATCCGGGGGAGTGGGCGGGTTTAATATTAGGGGGAGGGGATCTTTACTATGAAAATTACTACTATAAATACTGCCACGATTATTGTGAGGACGATTACTACTGTTATTTTATTACTGCTATGCTTATTCTTACTATAGCTACGCCTACTACTACCAAACCAAGTAAAGCCATCATTATTGTTATGACTATTAGTATTACAAGGGTGACCCTGGGCAAAATCAAAAAGAAAACAAGAAAAATGTTGTGAAAAAAAAGACTTTCCGACAATAGACCCGATTTCCAGGAGTTCCAGATTGTTGCTATGTGTTTCTGTGGTGGGTTTGGTTCTTGTTTTTGTTTTTTGGTATTCGGCAATTCCCGGAGTTCCGGGACTTTCCGACAGATATGCTCGATCTCCAGGAGTCGCAGATGTGTTCGTGGGTGTTTGATGTGCTTATCTGTCTTGGCTTTCGGCAATTCCTGGAGTTCCGGAATCTTGATGAGCTTTTGTCTTTTAAATTTTTCCCGAGATTTGAAGCACTATTTTCTGGGAAACTTTGGGAAGATGCAGGGCGCACAGGCTTTTAAAGACCACGCGGAGACTACACTCGCACCAAAAACTCCAGTGTAAGCGCTCTTCCTACTTAGTAGTCAAACTACCCCGAATACTGAATGCTCAATCCGGGCGCCAGTCAACACGGGAACCCTAAACCCTAAATCCTAAAGTTTCAATACAACTCGGGGATGGCGAGGACTCAACAGGGACCAGGGACCTCCTTGAATTCCTATGTTCTGTTCGTGTTGCTTTAGTATGGCTTGTCTTGTCTCAGAAATCAAAAGAACATCTAAGTGGAATTGCTGCAAGGACTCCATCTATTTTTATCGAGTTGCATAGATTTTGCACCTTTTCTTGCAGAAACTGCAAGAATTTAACTCAAAGAATTGGGATTCACCAGTTAGAACGAATGAAGCTCTGCTTTCAAAGTATTAAACTTGTCTCATCCAACCTAACTTGAAGGTGCAAGGAAATCGATGCACTCAAGGATTTCCTATTGTTATCTACTTTCATGGTTTAAGACACGATCTCCAATGAAAGATGAAACTCAACTACATGGACTTTCTTTAGTAGATATCCAACTGAAGGAATTTGTTTTCACCAATTTAACTTGATGAGCTCCTAGGTTTGTAGCATCGACTTATCAACATTTAAGGCTTGTCTCAGCGAACATAACTTGAAGGCTCAAGAACATCAGATACGGTTCACATTGGGATCATGGAAAAGAAAATGGAAACTACTATGATATACTATGCTCTAATATACTATAATGCAACCTGCTATCTCAAAGAGTTCCTTTATTTTCTTGGAGCTTCGTTTTGTACACGTCGCTTTACAAACAAAATTACATAAAAGGGCATAGTTGAGGTGCAGAACCCGGCAGCGTTGTGACAACTGCTTTTTAGACGCAAGGGTCGTCTCAACGAACCAAACTTGAAGATTCAAGACACAGCCCCCCTGAAGTAGATAGAATATGGGGTATAAGATGGTATAAGGGGATCTTATTATAATATACCCAAACCTATAATCTATCTACTTAAGAGAGACTATAAATCTAATGCAATCAAAGTATTCCTTTTTAGCTTGGAGGTTGCTTTTTCGATGCTGTTTTTACAGGAAAGTACATACAATGACTCAACCTAATTCCGCGGAATTTTTTCATATCTCAGAGAATATTTACAATTCAGCAGTTA